GCTCAACAGCCAGGACTTCTGGAGAACCTCAACAAGATGAAGAAGATGACTCTGCTCATGTTGCTGAGCGTGAGATGACATGGTTCATTCAGAATGTCAACAACCTGGTTCTCAACCCATGGATGGTATATGACATTGGCATGGTATCACTCCATGATCGTGTAGGGACACGTGTACTCCAGAGCACTGGAGAAGACGTGATCCTCGTGAGGGATTGGGACAGGTTGACAAGGCACCAGAGAGAATATTTTTGTAGGAGATACAAGTTGCTACGTCCAAGTGTTTATGGAACAGAGGAAGACCCCAAGACGTATGCACCGAGTTTTGAACCCGGAATTTCTCAGTGGATGGAGTTGGCACAAACTGGATACCAACAGTTTTTCTTCATCCGTGCTTGGGAGAATGGACGCCGTTGGGCTGAAATTCTGACAGACCATGGTATTGCTTCTGCAGAACTTTCAAGTTTCTTGGATATGTGCAGAGATCCCAAATTGCTGGGTTGGAACTTTGGTATTCCAGAACCTCAGTGGGATAATTTTGGCAATACAGTGGAGGAAGCATTCAACAATCCCTTGTTTGCCAAATTGCACTATCGCTTCAAGCAGGAGGAAGAGATTGGTCGTGTCATGCACCTTGTGTCAGAACTTGTTTGTGACTTTTTCATCAAGGTGTTTCCCAAGTGGGTTCTGAAGCATTCGATCTTGTGGGAAGAGTTTATGATTTTGGATCCAGTTACAAAATTTCCTTTTTACAAGACTTCAGAGGCCGATTTATGTGCAGAAGTGGATCCAGAGAAGTATCATACACATTTTGCTATGAACTTCAAGAAATTCCGTTTTTCTGCAAGGATTGTGTGGTATTTGATTGACCGCGACAGGAATCATTTAGAGAGTTTTCTTCACAACTCCAACAGTAGATTTGTGCAACATGCATGCTATCAACTTCGTGAGTATGTTCAGGCGCGTGTTGCAGTTTCTGATCCCTTGTATGAGATGATCAAGAAGGAAGAGTTTGAACGCCAATACAATTCCAAGTTTTTGGAGGCGATTTCTTGCTCTCGTGTTGTAGTTGAGCCTGTAAGTTCAGGGACGTATGAGCCATCATCGAAGCTGAACTTAAAGGTACTACAAGACATCCTGAAGGGTATCTTCAAGATCCAGAAGGATGAGGAGCTTGCCAAAGAACGTGATGAAGAAGAAGAGCAGGCAGCTCAAAACATCTCATACCTGTTGGCAGATGATATGGAGCTTGATTTTGATGATGATGATGTTCCAGTATGGCGCTCCATTGTCGACAAGTATAGAGGAGGTGATCAGGTGCTACAGGGAGAAGCTGTGAAGATTACTCACCTGTTCAGGGATCAAAAGGACAATGAGAAGGCGACAGAAGCTTTCAGTTCAGAGAGGACAGATTTTTATGAGACCTCAGGACCTCTTCCAAGAACCGAGGGAGAAAATCTTGTAGAGGACTTGCTCACCAAGGATGTTGCAGAACAAGCTTTTGAAGCAGGTGAAGAAGTTCCTCCTTATACAAGAGTCTCCACTATCGCTGGTGAAGTCTATACTGGAAGTAGGACACTTCTAGAAGATGAGAATATGGAAGAGGAAGTTCCTGAAGAAGATCCTGCAGTTGAACCTGGAAAGGAACAAGAAATATTTGATGAAGACGCAGGTGTTTTTCCTTCAGAGGAACCAAAGATGGAAGTGGACCAGGAGGAAGCCAAGGGAGAGTCAACACCATACTTTCTGTCAAGAGAGATAGGTGAGGACTCGACTGCATCGCACTTACCATCAGGTGAGATGGATGCTAACCTTGATGATACTTCAGGTCAGCGGAAATCTAAGAAAAGCCGCCTGAATAAGATTCCTGATCCTCATTTTCATGAAGAAGTTCAGGATGATGCAACCATGGAAGAGAAGAAAGAGGCGGTGGAGAAAATAAAAGAGGTCAGAGAGGATGATGGAGAGAAGAAATTGGAGGCTGAAATCCAAGAATCTTTTCCATCTGAAGTAGTTGTTGAGAAGGATACAACAAAAGCTGACAATACCTATGAGCTGCATACTTCACCTTTGAAGTTGCTTGGAGAGCTTACAGGAGATCCAGGTATTGGCCTTTATCAACTATGCTTCAGGGAAACTCACGCAAGATTGCTGAATCATGTTTGCTTCAGAAAAGGTGAGATTTCCCATCCTCATTATCAGTCAAGGATCAACGAGAATGATTTTGTTCGATCCATTCGTAATGTCTGTCCAGTACCTCCACCTGATTGTTATGAACATGAACCAGAGCATGATTTGAAGAGATTCTTCATCAATGATGATCGCATCATTTATTTGGATGGCAAGTATCAGGTCGATCCAAAGGCCCTTGAAAGGGCAGGACATGCTCGAGAAGAATTGGAGGAGACGAAGAAGGAACTCAAGAAGGAACTGGAATCCTATGGTCCCAAGGGACCCAGTTGGGACTTTGTCACCTTCTATGAAGAGCTGTGCAGAAGGTTCCTCAAGGGAAGAATAGAAGAACCATATGGAACTAACTTATTGGCCAGCTCAGAGTCCTTGACATTTTTATCCTGGAACTATGGCAACATGGTTCGTGGTCAGAAGTACACCACACCAAGGTTTCTCCAAGGACTTGATAGTGCAATGAGGCCACGCAAACAGAGCGCCATGTCACTTCAGAATGAGCAATTTGAGAACAACCTTTTCTTCAACATGCTCTTCTTTCTACGTGCACATGTCGTGATTCCCCAGGAAGCTCATCTTCTTGTTCCTGCCAAGGAATTTATTGAGCAAAAGAATTGGACAGTTTGTTTCAATGATTGGGAGAATCTTGCAGTGATGGCTAGATTGGCACCAGGTGGATATGTCAAGATCATTGCTGGACATGACCAAGACCTTGGTCACTGTGAACAGCGTGATGTAACTTGGGCTATCTACGAGATTTGTTTTGGAGAAACAAGGCCTCGTCAAGATTTCAAGGATGCAGACTTTGAATTTGATGACTATGGTCCTGAGGACAAGCGTGTTCCACTTACTCGAGCGAACATGCATACAATCAGAGTCTGTAATTTATCATGTTGATACACACCGTGCTGTGGATGCCCACCTACTGACAGGAGAACAGACAGCATTGATGCTTTACGAGTGTTTTGTCTATGAGGTGGACATCATTTCTGGTGATGCAAATAGTTTGGCCTACAGAATGTCTGGGTACAAAAGGCAGCCAATGGCTAACTACTATTACAGCACCATGCAGCATTGGATCCGCAGGTTTTCAGAAGCTCGTGTAAAAGCAGATCCTGGTATCAAAGCACCTATTCCCAGAACATTTTACAGTTCAACTTCACAGGTCCTCAAGAAGTGTGAAGTTTACTTTGATAAACTCTGGGAAGAATATTCTACTGTTGAAAAAGAAGAATACCAAGGATCACAGCTTGGCGATACATGTTTGTCTACCATTGTTGAATGGGGTCATTCAATGAGTGAAGAGGAATATGAAAATTCCACAGTGAGCACGAAGGAGTTCATCTGTAATTTTTCAGAGAACTTTGCTATGATTGACACGGAGGTTATGTGCTCAAGGCCCACTGACGAGGACAGTCATGGTCCAATGTTTATTTCACTCAGACCAGCTTCCTTTTCATCTGGAGACAGAAGACAGTATCGCATGGGAGCAACGCTTCATGAGGCGAACGTGCGGAGGAAGGAGAGACAGAAGCAGAATAGAAAGAAAGGAAGGCCGCCAACTTCTGATCAAGCAGCTTCAACGTCTGCAGCGGCATAATTCCTGAGCGAAGGCTGAAATTTAAATGATGGCTAGGAAGTGAAGATACTTCTGGTTACAGTTGATACCTGCTTCCAGGCTTGACTTTAAGTTGCCAGGCTGAAGTTTTAATAAATTCTGATTTGCAATGAGGAGAAACTTTTTATCAAAGAAGATACTCCTGCATTCCAGGTTTATACGCTTTAGCGTGTAGATAGGTATGGACAGTTTTGTATAACTGATGATATCTATCACAGTCGCTTTTCTGAGATGACCTCTAATGGACAACCAGTCATGGTTGATGATTAAGTCATTTCATGATTTGCAATTGTAGTGCAAGATTTTTTTTGTACATACATTTGCCGGTATCTCCTTCTTGTGTTTTTGATGTGAATGTGAAAGAGAGTCCTTTTGATGCAGTTTTATTTGTCTGTGAATGAAAGCGGTCGAGACCACGTCACGAGAAGATTATTCCTCGGACCGTACGCTCCTTGCATTTTGCAAGGCATTTTAATTAATTGCATTTGTGCGGTCTTGAATTTTTAGTTCCTTGTTACGCGAGTGTCGTTTGATTCTTTTATAGGTCTCTGTAGAGAAAAAGCCGCTTTCCCTTTTTAGTTTGATTTAGCTCAGGCCCTAAAGAGCTAGTGAGCGCCGGTACATGGTATCTCCGCCTGCGAAAAGTACAGTCTCCAGCCGAGGTACATTATCGTTTTGATTTTGTACTTGAGGTGAGTCAGCTATTGCTCCCTCACTGTATTTAGTAGCTATGAGATTACCTTCTCTAAAGTGTGAAACACACTGGATTAGGTAAGTACATGGCACCGTAGTTTCCTTTTAAGTTGTCAGAGCTAGCTGGACTGTTTTAGCCTTGCAGTAGAAAAAGAGTATGCGACATACGCAATCAGCTAGGAGTGGACATGAATCTTGTGCCTGCTGAAAAGTAGAGCCTACCTGTACAGGGTTCCACTCCAACAGCCGATATAGTGTGTCCATGCTTGACTGCTTCAAGGCTCAAAGAGCAAGAGGATAAGACTCTGCGCATAAAAGACACTAGCGGTCTGCACCTCTACCGTGTACGCCCTAGTCACTCTTTCACCCCCCACCCCCCCCAACAACCGAAATATGATTTCCACCAAACGCGCGCGCCGCTGCGGGTCGCGAGTGGGCGTGACACCAAGAAGAACCGTAGTGATGCACCTTCTCGAAACCGCCCGGTTCCTCCACCTACTAAGGATTTGCCTCTGTGGCTCCTCGATTTGAGGAACAAACGATGTGACAGATTTGAGCGGGTGTTAGCTTCTAGCAAGTGCCCTAAACTGGCGGCGCGCTGGCTACGCTTCCTGTTGTTGCTAGCCGGCGACATAGAGAATCCTGGACCATCGTCCGGCTTCCAAACCACGACGCCCGTGCCTCGAGGTCCTCTCGACATGAATGTCGGTTTCGCAACAGCGACCTCTGGTCGCATGCAGCTTTGTCTGGAAGCCTTTGCAATTTGGCTGAGGTTTGAATTTGACGTCTCGAGCAGATTGGTTGGGATTTTGCTGCAGGTCCTCTTGCAGTACGTGCCTACGGGATGCGTTTGTTTGCAGCTGGGCACCCCCGGTACAAATTTGTCTACACTATCACAGCCATGCAGGATGCTTTCCACATTTGAGACCCTTTTTCAGTTCAGGTTGGCAGGTTGATAGAAAACGGCAGCAGCGCGAACCTGGCTGCTGTCGGCCTGTGCTTTCAGCTCCGATCTTGCGAGCCATGACTGCACTCTGTTTACTTTGGAAGTGGCACCGCTGGTTCGGGATCACGTTGATTGGTTTTCTAGGAATGTTGCACCCTGCTGAATTTGTGCACTTGGTCCGAGCTGACCTTTTGCTGCCCTCTGACACCTTGGTGGATTCAGATTCATTCAATGTGCACATCCGGCACCCTAACACTGCGCGGTTTGCGCGGAAGCAACATTGCAAGATCGATGACCCCATCGTGCTGCAATTCATCATCAAAGTTTTTGCTAGGTTTAAATCTGCTGAGCAACTGTTTCCTGGTGGGCCATCTACAGTCGGAGGTGGGATGTGATCCTTAACAAACTTGGACTCCCATCAACTATGAAGAACCAGGGAGCAACGGCGGCGCTACAGCGCTGTATCTCCGAACGGAAAACTTAAGTTTGATTCAATGGCGAGGCCGATGGGCCCAGCTGAAGACAGTAGAGCATTACATCCAGGAAGTCGCGGCTCAATCGCTGCTTTCCACGCTCCCTTCCTTGGCTCGAGAAGTGATCCGCGAGTTTGATGCTGCCGCTCCGTTGCTGCTTGAACAATTTTTGGTTGACCACTCAAAGCAATGAAATTTTGGATGGATGTCATCCACGTCACTGGAATTGCCACAGTGGCTTACTTGTGTGTGGTTGGACATCGTGTGCCGCTCATGCAAGGGTCTTGGCTGACTACATGCGAAGTGAACGCTTGAACCGCTCATGCAAGGCTAAGGGTCTTGGCTGACTACATGCGAAATGAGCGTTTGAACCGCTGCAATTTGCAGCGATTGGGACGTCTTGCAACAGCGAGAAAAGAAGGCGGCAGCAGGATGATATATATATATATATATGCGATGTACAATGTACACACATTCTGACAAGTTCGATTCCTGTTGCACTCCTGTACTTGAATTCGCCAGCTGGAAAAAAGATTATCCGATGACCATGACCCTCAACTGGCATCGCAGAGGTTGCCGATGCCGCATCTGGATCATATTGGCCAAACTTGCTCATCTTACAGGGCGAAGCCCTACCAGCCTGCGGGCTTACACAGCAATTACCCGCACCACTCATCGGCATACCTTTGCTTAGCCCGTTGAAAATATAACACGCGATCTGAATAGAGAGACGCAATCATGGCTCTGGCCAGATCTCTATCGCTCCTGCAGCTACAGCTGGGAAGTCTTGCCTCAGCAAGGGGCCGAGCCCTACACCACAAGCGTGAGATGTTGCCGACATGCCAGAACATGCCTGCTTGACCTCAACCAAACCAGAAAGTGTGACGTAGCATGCTTCATGGGCTTGGATATGCGGTTAGGACATTCAGATTCAGGAGTGCCATGAAGTTGTTTCCTTGTTGAGGTTTAGGTTCACCATGGACCGACAGAAGAATCCAGAGCATTTGCTAAACACAGTTTCTCAAACGTGCACTTGGTGTATATGTTAAGCTGAAGCAGCCAAGCCAATTTGTGCCAGACAACTACCTGACTTTCACCGCAGATGAGTGCCGCATCCCCTGCAATTTGGCTGCAGAACGCACCACAGCCGTCCTTGTCGTTTTGGCTGGTCTTGAGTTGGGACTTGTGTAATGTGCAGGTGGAGATGGCATCAGGCACATTGTTGCCGGTGAGGACTAAGCTTGGGTGTTGCGCAATTACACCCTCACAACTGCGTGGGAATCAAAGCTCCAAAGGAATGCGACGACGGCAATGTCATTGATGGGGATGGCTGTACATCGTCGCGCCCCCACTGACGTTGCAATTGGTGACGAGAGAGACTGAGAATCAGAGCAAAAGAGAGAGGGAAAGAGAGGACAGAAAGGAGAGAGATTTACAGGACCGCTTTCCATGTTAAGTTTCCATATAAATCTAGGAACCAAACTGTTGGAGCGAGCGCTTCTTCATGGAAGCTCCTTCCCCACTTAGGCGGGGGGAGCTTCCTTGAAGAAGCGTGAGCTATCCTGTGTCCAGTCACTAGAAGCTTACTCCCGTACTTAATTCAATGGGAGTGGGCTTAAACAAAAAGAGCGACAAAAATTCCACGAGACATTGAACATGGGTCGCGCAAGCTTTGGCCGTGTGCAATTTTTTCTACGACTCCAACTGAAAGATCCTGAAAGTACAAAATGCATCGGTTTCATTTGCAAATGCTATGGCACTAAAACAAAGGCCAAGGCATCGTGATTCACTAGCCTAGGCAATGCGTCAGAAGCTGGACAGGAAAACTTTTCTTGACACAACACACTCACGCGACAAAAACACCTTCTTCTCTCACACGCAGCTGATTTGCACCTTGCCTGTTCATGCTGAGGGACTGCCGCATAGAAAGTGGCTATGAATGTCCTACTATTGGCTGGCCTCAGGCGAGCTCAAAACACGCAGTTAATGGTGTTTCTTTTGATGAAGGTAGATGTATTTACAGTTGGTACTTTGGATTTGTGTTCCTAACCGAGACTTTGAGCAGTCTTGCAGGGGAATGATTACGTCGTATCTAATGCGGGGATCTGCAGGGCTTCACGATTTGAGACCCAGGCATTTTTCCCAAGGAATAGACTGGGGACCTTCACCGTTTGTGGCTGAAGCTCCTATTTCCACATGTTCAATCTGCTTTGTTTCCTTCTTCCTTCATCCTCGCACCGCGGCTATCTCCAAAAGTGATGGCTGAAGCCTCCCGGACCTTCAGAGCACATGTCAATGCACGCGTGCGTGTTTCTCTCAATCGCCGTTCCCTTTTCAGGAAACCTTGGAACAGTTGGACACACACAGAGGGTGTAACTAAGCAATGCGCACCTCTTGCAGGAAGTGGTTCTCCAATATGGGGTTGTGGATTTCTGATTCAATGCCCACTTCTGGTGTAATGTGTCCCAGCCTGCTGCCCAAGTGTACCAGCCAACCAACCCTCTTCCCGTCAGTGCTGCCTCCTTGATTTTGGGTGGTATTGAGTTGAGCTAGAGGCAATAGTGAAAGAAGTGCAGGCAACTGAAAGGAGAAGTGGTTAAGCTGCTTCTGCAAAACTCGCTAAATGGGCTGGTTGGCAAATTGCGGGCGCTTTGGAAAAGGGCTTTGAGGCCAGCCTTGGCAATTCCATCTCTGCCTGGTGGACTGACAGTGCTCCGCCAAAATTTGGAGGAACTTTGGTGACATTGGCTACATCGCCCTCAATCTCACCCTCACCGAATAAGGGCCCAGCAGAAAACCAGAGCTTGGGATTAGATGTTTTGGAAGTGGTCGCTGAGCGAAAAGGCTGTGACGGCCATGAAGGGCCGTCGGAAGACGGATCGACAAGAGGTCTTCACGTCGGGAAGTTTTCTTGGGTTCATTCTTTGACAAACTTGGTAACAAAGAGTCAGTCTCATTTCAAGCCATCCTAGTTTCCCCAGCAAGCCGCGCGCTTACGATCTTCAAGAGTAGAATAGCCAAACCAAAGCCTTTTTGTCGATTGAATGTCAGAACTGCAAAAACTGCAGGAAGTGAGATCAGCCGATGTGTTCCCGAGTCTGTCGTGACCAGGTGCTTCTAACTCCATGTCATCCGATTTGTGGTGACGGTCTTCGACTTGGAGCGGAGGACCATGTCCAGTGGTGGAGTGAGCTACTTTTGCTCATGTGCAGTCAGGAGTGCGACGACAACAACACGGTTTCCGGCGACGGATGTGGACCTGATTGCAAGGCCAATAGGACAGTACCCTGCAGCTATATAGTAAGGGCTCCGCCCTGGTGCCGCCGACCCCTTTTCTTGGGGGAGGAGCTGGAAGACCAGAAGCCGGACAGGGATTGCTATAAGCATACACCGGCTATGTGCTCAAGACTCTGTATTCTTGATTCCTTTTACCCGGGCTTAGGCTACACTACGGACGCGCCAGTGTATGCACAGTCCTTGTCAGGAAAGCTGAGATGAGCTGTGTGCCTGAAACCTTGACATATCACACTGGTGGTGCTTGCTGCCGGCGGCGCTGCTGCTGCTGCTGCCGCGGCTTGATGCGGCGCGGCTGCTGCGTGGTGCTGCTGGCTGGCTGCTGGTTGGCGGTTGGTGCTGGCTGCTGGCTGCAGGCGGCTGCTGCTGCTGCTGCTGCAGCTGCTGTTGGCCGCTGCTTGCCGCATAGGACTTGTACTTCACCGTTACAAGTTGTTCACCCCTAGTTCTAACCTAATGCACGCAGAAGCGGGTGGCAAATTTACCCCCCAGGCTTGCTATAACCATACACCGGCTATTTCCTCAAGACACTCTATTCTTGACACCTTTTACCAGTGCTTATCCTACACTACGGACGCCCTAGTGTATGCACAGTCCTTGTGATGCTTACCCCTCGTTCCGGCTGAAGGCATAGATAAGCGGGGGGTAAATCGACCCCCCAGATTTGCCATAACCATAAGCCGGCTATTTCCTCAAGACACTCCACTCCTTATACCTTTTACCAGTGCTTAGCCTACACTACGGACGCCCTAGTGTATGCGCAGTCCGTATGAGGTCAGAAATGCATACCCCTCTTTCCGACTCAAGGCATACAAAAGCGGCGGGTAAATTTTCCCCCCCGATTTGCGGAGCACGCATGTTCATGCTTGCCAACGAGTGCACCCGGGTTGTTCCAATGTACCCTGCCCAGTGAGCGATGTCGCATTTACATTCTCTAGCGCCAAGTATGTACATAGCAAGCTTCCTCCCAAAACATGTAATCCCTACACGCTTTGCCGACGATGTAACTAGTACATCCGGTGCGACTCGGCTAGCGTTCGACCTGCTCCCCCTGGCTTCAAGTGATGCTTATCCCGTGGGCGAAGAGAAGAGGCAGGCCCATAGAACAAGCTTTCTGGGCCAAGCTGCGGCCTGCAGGAACGTTTGCGGGCCGGGCCGGTGGGCGAAGAGAAGGGGCAGGCTTCGGACAGGCCACAGAGAGGCCGCGGCAGGCCTGCCGGCTGCCGAGGAGGGTTTGAGGGCGGGGCCCGTGGGTCTCTAACGTCGCCTTCGGAAGCCCATAGAAAAAGCTTTCTGGGCCAAGCTGCGGCCTGCAGGAACGTTTGCGGGCGGGGCCGGTGGGCGAAGAGAAGGGGCAGGCTTCGGACACGCCACACAGAGAGGCCGCGGCAGCCTGCCGGCTGCCGAGGAGGGTTTGAGGGCGGGGCCCGTGGGTCTCTAACGTCGCCTTCGGAAGCCCATAGAAAAAGCTTTCTGGGCCAAGCTGCGGCCTGCAGGAACGTTTGCGGGCGGGGCCCGTGGGCGAAGAGAAGAGGCAGGCTTCGGACAGGCCACAGAGAGGCCGCGGCAGGCCTGCCGGCTGCCGAGGAGGGTTTGAGGGCGGGGCCCGTTGGTCTCTAACGTCGCCT